GGGCCTGCCACTGAAACACGTTCTGAACCCCTCGAAGACATTACACACTCTCACACGTCGTTTAATTAAAATAAATTTTAATATTTCACCTATTTTTACCCCTTAAACTTCCAAGTGTTATACCCTTTAAGTTTTCTGACTGAAATTCTGTGCGAGTTAAATTTCCCGCTCATCTCACCCGCCTTGGTTTGAAGACCCTAATAATATTTTTGATTACAAAAACATATCATAAAATCTCTCTTCCAACAATCATATTTATCCCATTCGAGTATATACAAATATTATTTCAGTCACTTCCTTCTCAAAAATATTCATTGACTTCTTCCCTTAGATTGAAGGAACAAATTTCACACGCATATAAATAAAGTTCGTTATGCTTGAAGATGGCTGGCTGTCTTCTGGGTTGTTGCGCCGTGTAGTCTGGTAGAAGTTTATTGACGTTTCAGAGGTCCTACCTGCCTCCATCATCAGGGCTTTGCGTCACTCATTGCCCCGAAGCTGGAGTCAGCAAGGACCTCTGAAACTTCGGTAAACTTCTACCACACCACGCAGCACAACAACCCAGAAGACAGCAATCTTCAGACTCAACCGCCGTGAAAACCTCAAATCCTTTATTATACTTCATGCGACTAACAGGATACAGGAGTTCGATTAAAATGTGTTCTCAGTATGTGCGATATGTCCACGTACTGTACCTATTTCTCCTATCGTTGCGATAGTACTGAAACTCCTGGTTGCCTCCTCCCCAAGCCGTGACAAGATGACTCCATTTGGAGAGATCTAAATTGTTGAACTCGTCCTGCCAAACGAGTGTTTCGGCTGATCCTTTATGACTAAGGAACAGGACCAACAGACTAAACACGGCCACAAACTCAAATGGCCCAGCCATATCTGCAAATACATCATTCTGGTTTACTTAAAACATGGAAGAAAAATGTCATACTATTTAGATATATTAACGCATGCAGATTCTGATTATTGTAAATTCAGACATGTGAGAATGTGTTCAATAATAAGGCATCAATCTCATTTTCTTTATAAGGCGGAGATTGCAAGCTGTTTAAATGTTATAATAACGGAATGAAAGAGGTGCATAAGTCTATGACAAGGCGACGCTTCTCAGGACAAAAGTGCGTCAGCCCACTGTAGTCTCAGAAATGAGGTCACTCAATTCTTCGCAGACATTTCGATTTACATTTTTACCATTCACAATCTAAACTGATCAACACGAAAACACTATTTATCAATAAGAGCTGACTGACACCTAATAATTATCTACAGACCTTAATATATATAAAACGTAAGGATGAATATACAAGAAACTCATAATTTTGCTTGTTGTTTTATGTGGGCGCGAAGCCTGATCCCTCATTGGTCCACCTGGGTAAAAACATAAATTGTGGATGTTTGCAAAGAGTGTACTGAGAGGAACTTATGAGGAAAAAAGTACAGGAAATAGGAGTAAATTACATAATAAAGGAGCTTCATAACTCATACTCTTGTATGTTATGGGTTGAAGAAAGAGAATAGTTTGGAGGACAATGTTGAAATGGTTCTTAAAAAATGGGATAATGCGCTGTAGATTGTAGTCATATGGCTCAGAATAGGGTTTCGTTGTGAGCGTCTGTGAACATAATAATACAAAAAATATTTGGGAAAAAAATGTGGGAAATTCCTTGACCTGCTGGGAGACCTTTCAATACTCAGGGAAACCTCTGCTTCGTGGTTCTTCGTAATCGTTTACCTCACCACACTGACGTAGGTTTCAATTTCAATATAGGAGTATCTTTATATTCTTTTCGGTTTACGAGTGAATGCGTTTTAGGATAGACAACTCTTAGGCGTAGGCTCTTTGACTTTTGCATGTGTTAGCACAATAACAGTATTTTGTGTACACAGCCACTGAAATTAGACAAAGAGAATCCATAATTAAAATTTCAGTTTTTTTAAAGGTGCGCTAGATTAACTTCAGTTTTATTTAACAAATCTGTTTCGGCTGCAGAGATCATATAACGTCGAATTTTTTGGTACATAATCATGAATGGTGTGTGTGTCTGCGTGCGTGCGTACGCGCGCGCGCGCGCGCGCATATATATATATATATATAACATTTTCAAACAGAATTCTTCTGGATATACGTCCAGAACCAGAGCTGTGCCAATTTCCGTAAATAAAATTACCATGTGATCGTTTAATAAATAAATTTTGAATTCCCTTAAAGGCAGTGGTTTTCAACCTGGGGTACGCGTACCCCCGGGGGTACGTGAAATTTAAAAGAAAATTATGATAAACACTGAAAAATCATTAATGTAATTTATTTAATTTATTTTAAATGTAGATTATATACTATATATAATTTGAATTATACATCAACAATTTGGGAGTAAAAGTTGAAGAGAAATTATATCTGGGGGTACGCGAACAAGAAAAGGTTGAATACCACTGCTTTAAGGTACGAACTGATTTCTTTAATATTGTTTATACGAGCTTCTGCTTCAAATGACCAAAGTAAATCATTAACAGTATGTTTCACAGAGACAGCTTCAGTATATTCGCACAAGATTCGTGCAGATACATGTTAAGACTTGAGTTCACTCTACTCTTGTGACTTCTTTTCTCAGTTAATTCATAAAATATTAAAAACAAAGTGCATGCGACATCAATGCCGGAAGAATACAACATACAATTTGCTTTGAGTGTTCTTTGCTCACCTGACACAGCGCTGCTGATGTGCGAGATATCTGAGGGAAGTCTGTACTAACCGAATTCGCGTTATTTAAATAGGTTTATGTTACGTTGGAGTAGCGAGCAGACAGTATATCACGCTGTTTTTCAAGTGGTGATATGTTTTTATTTTGTCCTACTTTGATTAACCTTTTGACAATAGCAGTTAACCGTTTATCTTTACGTCATTTTGCACAAAACAAGATCTGGTGATGTAAATGATTTATTGTTACAGTTATTAATCATGTGTTTTTCTGAGAGTTGATTCAGTCTGCTTCCTCATACAGGATTTAGATGGAGTAGTTCCGTAAGGCTTTTACACGTCTCCCTATTGTCTACATAATGGACTAATCTTTATGTAACCAGCTGTTATACATAAGCACAGCTTTGTCTCTTGTAGTATGATGTATTATCCCAAAGCCAGGAATAGCATCAGAAACCTTCGTCTGCTGCTTTAGTACTGTTTTATTGTTGACGACATTTTATATTCTGACGGTAATGATTACGAAAATGGCTACCCTCTGGGATGTCGCTCCACATAGTCTGATAGAAACTGACCAATGTTTCAACGGACTGAATTCCCAGTAATCATATCACTTACGTAAGACATACTTTTATGAAAATGGGAAAAATTCTTTCACGCTTTATGATGGCTACCATAATTCCATCAAATGTTTAGATCTATTAAATTTCTCAGACATTCTAATTTCTTTTTAAAGTTAAATATAATTATGCAAGTAAACGGCCTATATGTACATATTTTTATCCACTAACTATTTAATATTTGATATTCCATGGCTGATAATTTACCTGTCCAGAGGACTCTGTAAATTTTTCGAATTCCTTAAACATAAGAGAGATATCAGGTTCTCGCAGCGGTGAGTGTAAAAATTGCTGTCTTCTCGGTTTTTACGAAGTAAAGTCTAATAGAATTTTAACGACGTTTCGGAGTGGCTTGCTGTCAATCATCAGGGCGATGTGTAAGCCGCGCGCTAGAAATCGATTGCTTATGCCTGAATTTCCATTGCTGTATTAGGCGTATAAATTGTTTTCGTACGATTAAAATCAAATATTGCATTGTGACTCTAACAATACGTCTTAAAACAAATACGATTTAGGTCTACTATTACAGTTATAAACGTAGCTTACGTACAAGAAATAGAGTATATACTTACGTATAGAAGAGCTTTATATGAAATAGAACTTCTTAAAAGTGAAATTATTATATTCTGCGTCTAAATATTTTTTTAAGAAACTTCGTTGTGGGAATAACGTCTTTCGGAGTGAGAGGAAGTCCAGGAGAAATCAGTGTTTCCTATTTATGCTAATTATCTCGTATCAGAAAAACTTGTTATCGTGGTTGAGGTTTCTGTGACATTTCTGACTTCCTTTGTTATGCTTTCGAGAGCACATTTAGAATATCCATTAACGGATTTTTATCTACTCTGATTGCTATGATCTCTCTCGCACGTATTTTTCGCAGTTCGATAACAAATGTAATGTATCGTTTGCCGGTTATTTCGTGACTCTGTAACAACTTCATTGGTATTGTGCCGTAGAATAAAGGTTATCACTAACAAAACAAAAGGTATGTAAAGAGAAACACTAATGGCCTACACCAGCATTTGTCTGCAACGTGTAAAATCACAATCAGTTCTTGACAGATGACAAGAAGATGGGATTCGATGGAGGTTCCTTTTAAATAAATCCGGAATTGTTACGCTGAGTTAATGTGCATGGTCGTAAGTTAACTTTCTTCTGTCTAAAATAACACTAACTTTTACAAAGCTGAGTTACAGAAAATTATATTTAACATGGGCGTGAGAAATATGTATCTGTATTTGAAGGTTTTATAACTTCCTTTACAGCAAACTAGCCTTGATTTTAAAGTTATTCCTTTTCATCTACTGGCAATAACGTGCTTTATCCGTAATATCATAACCGGCGGTAATGAGAGATCCGGCCCGGGGCCACTTAAAGGCCTTATATGCCTTCGGAACACAGTTCATTTTAGTTAAACACAATTTCTCAAGAAAAGTAATTATTATTAAACACACACAATGCATTATTTTGTTGCAATCACAAAGTTTATTCACTCAGCTCAGCCCAGTTAAAACATTTACTCCAGGATTGACAGTTCGAGTTCCTTTCTTGGTAGATGAATCTTCTTCGTCTCCGAGATGTCTGTCTTCTGGGTTGTAACTTCGTGTAGTACGGTAAAAGTTTACCAACGCTTTAGGGGTACTTCCTGCTTCCATAAACAGGGCAAATCACCCAATCTTTTCACAAAGTGCGAGGCCTGGTGCAGGTATAGTGGTCAGTGAGTAAAAGCAAAGTCTCACCTCCATCTAGGGTAGAGATTAATAAATCAAAGAGTTGTAGATTTCTCGTACAGGTCTTTATGGCGTGTTGATTGGAACAAGGAACATTTACGTTTGTTAGGAAATCGAGGACTATCGCAAAACTAAAATATTTAATTGATGATTGTACGTTACTGTAATTTAATGAGTCACATGCAAATAACGTGGTTTGGTTTTCGGTTTTAGAACAGATTAATATATTATTATATAATCAATGTTATATATCTATATTTAATGGCTTTATCTACGGAGTGGCTCAAACAATAATTTTTAAACTGATTTTTAAAATACTTTTCGCTCATTTTTGTAGCAAATTTAATTATAATGAGAAACATGAGTACAATGAAATCAACTACACGTTATGTAAGTGGCGGTCCTGAAGTTAAAGTTGCACTCTCTTTGTAACTGAACTGCAGTAATACCTATACAAACAATTAAAACTCTGCAAGCATTCAACTGGCAAATTTATTTTGTATGTAATAATACGAAAACTATTATGAAAACTGACTTTATGATCGATTTTAAGACGAACATTTGCAGGGGTGGGGCTGGATGTAAAAAGTTGACTGAACTAGAATTGTTGACCTCTGAACAGCGACGTAAAGAACTAAAACATCAGACATATTTAAGAAATAAAGAAAAGCGAAGGAACACTTATCAATATATGTGTTCCTTCGCTTTTCTTTATACCAACTCCAACAACTCCAACAAGGTAAACTGATACTCATTCGATATATTACGATTAAGAAAGTATTATGAAAACTGACTTTATGATCGATTTTAAGACGAAGATTTGCAAGGGTGGGGGCTGGACGTAAAACGTCGACTGACCAAGAACAATTGGCCTCTGAACAGCGACGTAAAGAACTACAACATCAGACATATTTAAGAAATAAAGAAAGGTGAAGAAAGACTTACATCGATAAACGAGACCATATTAACGACACATGTAGAAAAACAGACGAAGATTTGCAAGGGTGGGGTTGCAAGTAGATAGTTGACTGACCAAGAACAGTTGGCCTCTGAACAGCGACGTAAAGAACTAAAACATCAGACATATTTAACAAATAAAGAAAAGCGAAGGAAGACTTACATTCATAAACGTAGAAAAACGTATTCAATAAGAACAGAAGGGAAAAAAAGCAGACGAAGATTTGTAAGGGTGGGGTTGGACGTAGAAAGTTGAGTGACCAAGAACAATTGGCCTCTGAATAACGACGTAAAAGCTCATACATCAGACATATTTAACAAATAAAGAAAAGCGAAGGAAGACTTACATTGATAAACGTAGAAAAACGTATTCAATAAGAACAGAAGGGAAAAAAGCATACGAAGATTTGTAAGGGTGGGGTTGGACGTAGAAAGTTGAGTGACCAAGAACAATTGGCCTCTGAATAACGACGTAAAAGCTCATACATCAGACATATTTAACAAATAAAGAAAAGCGAAGGAAGACTTACATTGATAAACGTAGAAAAACGTATTCAATAAGAACAGAAGGGAAAAAAGCATACGAAGATTTGTAAGGGTGGGGTTGGACGTAGAAAGTTGAGTGACCAAGAACAATTGGCCTCTGAATAACGACGTAAAAGCTCATACATCAGACATATTTAACAAATAAAGAAAAGCGAAGGAAGACTTACATTGATAAACGTAGAAAAACGTATTCAATAAGAACAGAAGGGAAAAAAGCATACGAAGATTTGTAAGGGTGGGGTTGGACGTAGAAAGTTGAGTGACCAAGAATAATTGGCCTCTGAATAACGACGTAAAACTCATACATCAGACATATTTAACAAATAAAGAAAAGCGAAGGAAGACTTACATTGATAAACGTAGAAAAAAGTATTAAACAAGAACGGAAGAGCAAAATAAAACAGACGAAGATTTGCTAGGGTGTTGTTGGACGTAGAAAGTTGACTGACCAAGAACAGTTGGCCTCTGAACAGCGACGTAAAGAATTAAAACATGAGACCTACTTAAAAAGTAAAGAAAAGCGAAAAACTTATTGGAAAAGAACAGAAGAGCAGAAGAAAACAAACGAACACTTGAAATAGTGGGATTGGACGTAGAAAGTTGTCTGACCAAAAACAGTTGGCCTCTGAACATCGATGTAAGGAACTAAGAAATCAGATCTATTTAACAAATAAGGATAAGCGAAAGAAGACTTAAATTGTTAAAAGAGACCATATTAATAACACACGTAGAAAAACAGACGAAGATTTGCAAGGGTGGGGTTGGAAGTAGATAGTTGACTAACCATGAACAGTTGGCCTCTGAAAAGCTTTGTAAAGAACTAATCCACCAGACCTATTTAACAAATAAAGAAAAACGAAGGGAGAGTTACATTGATAAACATAGAAAAACGTATACAACAAGAACAGAAGAAAGAGAAAAAAACAGACGAAGATTAGCAATGGTGTTGCTGGACGTAGAAATTTGACTGATCAAGAACAGATGGCCTCTGAACAGCGACGTAAAGAACTAAAATATCAGATTACAGGAAGCGCTCCGAAAGGATTAGCCATCGTTGTCGTCAAAAAATGACGTAATCAACAATATCAGCTTATATTTGTTTATACACGGGGGTTAGTTTAGTGTCTTACTCAAGATTTTAAACGCAACCCCCCTTTGGGGGGTTGGTCAAGTGTTTAAACCCCCCATAGGAGCTCCGAAAGGAGCGCCCTGCTCTAGTGTAAGTAAAATTTCTGATAACGGTAAATTTATTTTTTAGTTCGATTGTTCAGTA